CGTGGCTGGTGCTTAAATTTGAATAGTAGTTGTATTAATTGATCTTCCTGGTAGGCATATGGATTTTATCAGATCACTGATAGCATTGTACTTCAGGATAGATCTTGAAATGTTTTATATATATATACAGTGCCATTCCTCTTCAGTGTATCACTCCTGACATAGTAGGACATAACCCAAACAAACCAAACCCTTTGCCTTTAGAGTCTGTTCCAACGCATAGCTACCTTGTGTAGACTGGAATCTTTATGGCAGCAGACAGCCTCATCTTCCTCCTGTAGAGTGGCTGGTGGGTTTGAACTGCCAACACTTAACCTACAATGGACTCCTGTACTAGACCATATGTTTGTCCAATTCAAAAGGCTCAATGCCAGTCCTTTTCAGCTCACTAATACCTAATATATCATTCTTTACATGCTCCATTTCATTTTTGACAATTTCTGTTTTTTCTAGATTCATAATTCACACATTTTCAAGTTCTTGATGATTATTTGCATGTTTCTTTTTATTTTGAGTCATGCCACACCTGCAGACGTAGGTCCTTGAAGCATTACTCCTTCCATGTCACTCGCTTTGAGGAAGAGCTCTTCCCCTTTCACATTTTGAGTGCCTTCCAACCTGAGGACTCATCTTCCAACATCATATAAGACAGTGTTCTTCTGCTATTCATAAGATTCTCACTGGCCAGTTATTTTAGAAGTAGATCTCCATTTCCATCTTTCTAGTCTGTCTTAACCTTGAAGCTCCACTGAAGCTTTTATTCATAGATATGATCTAAATTATATAATAGGTTAAATCGTATTCAAATACAATGTGCAACTAACAATGACAGTGGTAGCCAAGTCTCTTCTTAATCAAGGTAAAAGTCTAAGTGGGTATTAGTTTTGCTAGAAATATATTGCCATCTCCCCACCCCAATCAAATTAAATCAGGCTTTGTAGCTAGACTAGCCAGAGTTTCAAGCTTTCCACTCTCAAAGTGGTACAAAGAGCCCAGGGCTTGTGCAGTCAAAAAATTAATAGAGAAAGGTAGTGGTATTTCTAATTTTCTTTTCCAAGATGCTCACCATCCAGTTTTATATGATCCTTACAAAGCATAGCATAGGCATAGGAATCTCTTGCTTTGCTTTTCAAGGCCATGGTGCCTAGTTTTCAGCACTCCAGTATCATACGTGCCATTCGACTAGAGTGCTGCTATCTGAGTGAATGAGAACTGTGTTTCCTTTGCTGAGCTCTTTCTTTTTTTAAAATATCGTTATAGACCCCAAACCCACTGCTACCAAGTTGATTCCAGCTCATAGCAACCCTATAGGGCACAGTAGTACTGCTCTCTAGTGGGTCAAGACTGTAAATCTTTGTGGAAGCAGACAGCCTCATCTTTCTCCAAGGAACCAGGTGGTAGGTTTGAACCACCGACCTTATAGTTAGCAACTCTGTGCTTAATCCGATGCACCACCAGACCTGTACAATGATAAATTTTCCTCTTAAGCACAGCTTTCATTTTATCCTGTAAGTTTTGGTATGCTGTGTTTTTGTCTTCATTTATGTCAGTGTATTTTCTAATTTCCTTTGTAATTTTTTTCATTAACCCATTGGGTATTTAGGAACATGTTTAATATCCACATATTTATGAATTTCTCAGATTTTTCTGCTACAGATTTTTAATTTCATTCCATTGTGGTCAGAAGACATACTTCATTTGATTTCAATTCTTGTAAGATTTGTTTAATGACTTAACATATATTCTATTTTGGAAAATTTTACTCGTACACTTGAGAAGAATGTGTATTCTGTTCTTGTTGAGTGAAATTTTCTGTAGTTGTCTGTAAGGTCTAGTTGGTTTATAGTGTTATTAAAGTCTTTTATTTCTTCTGCCTGTTCATGTCTGTTACTTAAACCCTTACAATTAACTGTTTTATTTCAGTAATTGTATTTTTCAATTTCAGAATTTCTATTTGTTTCTTTTAAAATAACTTCTATCTCTTTATATATCCTACCTGATGAGATATCAGTCTCATACTTTGCTTTAGCTGTTTAGATTATGTTGTTGTTGTTGTTGTT